TCGCCCAACCCCCACCACCGCCCCAACCGTCGCCCCAGCCTCCTCCGTATCTGCAAGTAAATCAAAACCCTCCCTCAACCGTAGATCTACAAGGAGATGATATCGAATCACCGCACGTAGATCTAATCGGAAAGAAGAAGAATAAGAAAAAGGAGGGGAAGGGAGAGAGAAAATGATGGCCAGATCTGGCCGAGAAAGGAAAGGAGAGAAAGAAGAAAAAGAAGAAAAAGAGGGGGGGAGTGAGAAGGGCGTGTTTTTGCTGAGAAAAGAAAGGGAGAAAGAAGGAAAAGGAGAGGAAGAAGAAATGAAGAAGAAGATAATTGGGAGAAGAAAAATAGAAGGGGGAGGGGGGAAGAGAGAAAGAACGAGAGAGAAGAAAAAGAAAGGGACTGGCCAGGTCTGCGAGAAAAAGGGGGGAGAAGAAAAAAGAAAAGGGGAAGAAAGAAAGGAATAGAAGAAGGGGTATTTTAGGAAGAGTGAATATAAAAACGTAGAATGGAAACTTAATTTCCGGACGGAGAAAAACGTAGAGTGGAAACTTTAATTCCGGACGGAGGAAGTATTGTATATCGTTGATATAACTTTAGACTACATTCTTTAGTGTAAGTATAGCATGGTTGATAAAACTAAGGGTAATATTTGGAGAATCATGAAAAATATCAGATGTTTGTGAATGTCTATAAGAAGTTAGGGTTAAAAGTGAAGTTAAAATTGGGATACATTTAACGTTTTTCTTAAATTAAACCTTTTTTTTGTAAAAGAGGTTGAACCCCGACCCCTAGTTACGGAGTACTACGAATTTCTATACAAAGTAGACGACTTTTTTATACTCCTCGCGTCCCTAAACGAATTGCATTTTACGTAAAATGAAGTAACATTTCAAGTTCTTTCACGTCATTTTATTTAAAGATTGGTATAGAAATAAAAAATAAATTTTGCATATTTAAAAGAAAATCTATGAAAAAAACCAACATGATATATGAATGTGGGTTTTCATGATTTGCAGGGAAGTCATTGTTGCCCAGCAAAGATATGGAATGGTATTTCTTTAGCCCACGAGACCGGAAGTACCCGAACGGATCTAGGACGAACCGAGCCACCAAAGCGGGATACTGGAAGGCAACCGGGAAGGACAGAAAAGTAAATTCACAAATGAGATCGGTGGGGATGAAGAAAACCCTAGTCTATTACAGAGGGAGAGCTCCGCACGGGGCCCGGACCGATTGGGTCATGCATGAGTATCGCTTGGATGAAAGAGAGTGCGAAATTCCAACTGGATTACAGGTACTCATATAATTTAAGTGCACTAAATGGGACTAAAACATAATGACTTTCTTAAAATAGGACTTAAACTTTTTTATTCCCTAAATAGGACTTAATAATGTCTTAGTGAGAGGAATAATGTCTAGTAATGATGGACATTTACTTGAATAATGACTAATTAAAATATATGGTCCTATATTGGGAAAGTCGATCATTATGTTTTAGTCCTATTAAGATAAATTATTATATTGTACGTGGTTGTGCCAAGTCTCAATATGTTTCTTTTTTGTGCTTAGGATGCTTATGCGCTATGCCGGGTGTTCAAGAAGAGTATGACCACTACTACGCCGCCCCAGAGTGCGGCGGACACCCATTATGTCACCGCGACGCCAATGACGGCGAAGGACGGGTCATCGAGCATCGATATTTACTCGTCAGAAGGAAGAAGCGAGGAGATGGAAAGCTCAACAAACTATGCAATGGTGGCGGGGGCGCAATCCTCGAACTCGTCCATGGCGACCGGCGCCCTTCATCAATATGAGTCTCCATTGTTCCATCTCCCTGCTGGCCCAAGCAGCCACAACAATAATAACAACAATGGTGATGATAAATGGATGCAGTACTTATCCGATGAAGCATTTGGTTTGCAGCCTAATAATCATCCCCCCTCATCATCATCATCTTGCTTGCCAAATCATTTTGCAACCATGCCTTATCCTCCTTCAAAGGTATTCATGAATATATAAAGCACAATTCTACTACTACAAATTACTCCTTTTATTAACTAATAACAATAAAAGTCTTCCTTCATTTAGGGAGATTTACCTAAATAGTACTAAAACATACTGATTTTTGCAATGGTGTATCATATGTTTTTATTTTTCAATGTAATACCACTGGTCATTGTTCATAGGTCATTGTACAAGTAAATTTCCACTGCCACTGGACATTGTTCAAACTAAATGACCACCATCACTGGGCATTATTCATGTCACTAGACATTATTCAAGTACTATGTAGGAAATAAAAAAATTTAAGTACTACATTGGAAAATGCAATATGTTTTAGTACTATTTAGTCCAAATTTCACTTCCTATATACTCCCTCCGTCCCATGAAACATGAGACTTTTGCTTTTTAGGAGGGATTTAAGGGAGTGTATTTTGGTATTGAATTTCCAAAAATGTCCTTTGATGTGATGGGTAAAAGTATGATTTGATGGATAGATTATTAGTAAAAGGTATGATGTGATAGTTAGGGTATGAAAAAGTAAGAGGTAAAAGTGACTTTTTAATAGAAATGAGAAGTATTTTGTGGGACGGATAAAAAAAAAAGGAGAAAGGTTTCATGGGACGGAGGGAGTATGTTGATAGAATTCACCATGACTGGCGTGCAGGTTGACATAGCTTTGGAGTGTGCTAGGTTGCAGCACCGCTTCACGTTACCGCAGCTGGAGGTTCATCAGGATTTGCGCCACGGCGGCGGTCCCCCGAAATCGACAGCATTCGTGACAAACTACCAAGACGACGACCACCAAATTAACAGCTACCACCACCACCAACAACCGGATATTGTTCAAGAAATCTTGTCAGTTGCCCAAGCGTCGCACGATCTGATGAATCAGGAAGACTGCGACGCTTGGGCTGGAGGGTCGTCGTATGGCGTGACGAATAATATTAATAATAATGCAGATGATGGGTTTTCTTTCTTCCAACACGGTTCCGGGGGCCAACTTGATCAAGATTTGGGCATTAGCTTCCGGGATATGATAGACCAGACCGGCGGAGAAGATCACCAGCTAAGCTCCCGAAGCATTTCGATTGAGGGGTTGAGATCGGAGAGAATGGCGGTGGAGAACTTGAGATGGGTAGGAATGCAAGAGAAAGACCTTGAGAAAGTAAGTATTTTGACATGATGCATGTTTTTGGAAAGAAAGTCCATATTTTTTATAAACATGGGCCAAGGTCTTAGTTATGTATGGTTACTTTTTCAAACACCCCCACACACCACATCATAACATGTACTCCCTCCGTTCCACAAAACTCTTCCTCTTTCGTTTTTTTTACTTTCTACAAAACACTTCTACTTTCAATTAAAAAATCACTTTTATCCCTACTTTTTTATACCCTACCTATCACATCATACTTTTTCACTAATAACCAAACTATCACATCTGGGGCAAAATTGGAAAGTCAACCAAAATTACACTTTCCTTATTTTCCTCCAAAGTCAAAACCGGAAGGATTTTGTGGAACGGAGGGAGTAGTTATATACAAACTGAATTTCTTTGCAAGAAGTTGTGAAGGACTACATTCCATATCTTTCTTCTTATTTATTCCATTAAGATTTTCAATGCAAGACTTTTTAATTTCTTTATTTATATATAAAGATAAATTATAAAAATATGACATTTCAAAACTCCGTTTCAAAATGAAGCTATTTATATTTAATTTATATCACAATTCCCTATATTTTTTTCCATAATTTGTAGTCAAAAGTTTTAAAAAGTTGACCACAAAAGTCTAAATGCAAACAAAGATAAGAGAGAGTATACATAGCATGAATGCACGAAGAAAATGTATATTGAGACTCCAAATTATATTATATCGCCAGCAAATTAAGAGACTCCAAATTCCTGACGTGCAATGCAAGCATAACTGACTTAACTCGACTAAAGTTTCGTATAAACCATTATACGGAAGACAACTTTTATGGTACATATATAGACCTACATATAAACAAAATAAGTATTTTCTTACTACTTAAATAAATATTTGTGTTTTAAGTAAAAAAATTTGAATCTTTTTTTTTGTGTGAGAAGATTTACAAAAATAGCATGCACCTAAGGTGCACCGAAACACTTTATACGGAATACGCAATACTCCTTTTTCTCCCAGATACTATATCAAATTAACCTTTAATTATTACTGCATTTTCATTGTTTATTTAGTAAAGTGAAATAAAATATTCTTCTCACTTTTTTATAGTCAAATGAAGATTTCACTTAGTTTTGAAATATTAAATTTTATTTTATTTTTATATCAATATTTACAATGAATTAAAAATAAAAAATTCACTTTTTTTGTACAAAGTATAAAATGTTTTGGGAGGGAGAGAATATGTTAATTTCTTTATCGTTAAACAATTATCCAAATCTCATCTCTTAAATTCTAACATACTCCGTATCTTTTTTTTCTTTTTTCTTTTGCAGAGCTACTCCCTATCTTACTCAACAAGAAATAAAATTAAATTCCAATAAATTACTCTAATATATTCAAATATACTCTCTCTCCTTTTCAAAAAATAATTGTGCTTCAATTTCAGTCTTCACTCTTCTACTCATAAAATATTTTCACTTTCAATCAAAATATTTATTTTAGCCATATCATATCATATCTATTTTTTAATAATATATCCATCATATCTTATTCTATTGTCCGTCACATACAAGAGTAAAATTAAAAAATCAACTGCAAAACACACATTCTTTAAAATTATCTAAATTCAAAATAGGAATTACCTTTGAAACGGATCGAGCCAGTATTAGAAAAGTCTATTTTTCAAATTACAAAATAATGATTTCATAATATAATTATATTCTACTCCTTTTTTATGAAGACTAGTAAACTGGTACTCAGGGTTTTATGTGAAACAAGTTCATTAATTACAAGACCCTCATGACTACTGACTTAGGTTTCCTTTTTTCATTAACAGACATTTATGGAAGACTACAAAGAAGTTCCCATAGAAAATGTCTCAAGCATGAATCCATTAACACATGAAGTTCATGGTATGAGTGTATGGATATTATTACTCCGGGGTATTATTATTATTATTATTATTATTATTATTATTATTATTATTATTATTATTATTATTATTATTATTAATTGTATCAAGCTCATACGCAACTAGACAACTAATATGCAGGAGGAAACAACTTGCACAGCTACACACAAAATGATGACTTCTCCATTGGATTCGACAACCACCACGATGCGAACAATTTCTTCGATGGCGCTTTCTCGGATTCCCCGCGCTTGGAGGTCTACGAGAAAATAGAAGTGAAGCACGGGATGTTCGTGGCGACAAGACAAGCGGCCCAAACCTTGTACCACCAAGTTTTGCCTTCGACCACCGTGAGAATCTATAAGAACTTGGTCGATCCCTTGCAAGTCTTTCCGGTGGCGAAATTCGAAGGGAAAGGAATAAATACCATGCTAGACAAGTTCATATTATTTTCAAGGAAGAACTTAATGGGAGTAACAAAGAGAATGGGGAGCACATTATTTTGGGACTATTGCCATTGGAATAAAAAGTGCAAGGATAATGTGTCAATTGCAGGAAATAATTATAAGGCAGAAAAGGAGAGGATGACTAATAGTTTAGGGGAGAAGACTGCACCATGGCCATATCTCACTCTAGTATTGGCCCTATCTACCATATGGCTGCACCAGAATATAATGTGACTTTATTTTCATAATATGTTCTTTATGTTACAACAAGTGCATGTTCCTATTAGTATGTACTTGGTATTTATTTTTAGTATTTTTGAATTTCTAACCCAATTTGGTTGCTTCTTAATTATGGGAGGGCTAACAAATTGAATTAGCTTTACCCTAATTTAAATTTATGTCATAGCAACTAAAGTGTCTTTCATACGGCAGTTGGACATACCTTTTTGCCCTATAGGTCTATTACCTCTATTTGGATAAGAGAGTGTAATTACACAATCGTGTACTCCATTATTAAGAGGATTATGCTATGTGTACCCTAAGGTTTGTACCCCAATTTGTACCCCGCAGTTTTGCATCAACACTTTGTGTTGGTGTAAAACTAATTTTTGTTAAACGCACCAACATTTGTGTCCGTGCGAATTTTCATTAACGCACCAACACTTGTGTCGGTGTAAACCATCAAAATGTTTGTGCAAACCTGTGGTGTACAAATGGGGTATATTTTTTGGTGTAAGTGTAGCATGGTCCTTATTAAGATGATATTTACATGAGTCTAATTTGTATTTACCCGTGCTATTTGCTAATCACAGTCTTATTATTAAGTCATTACTCTGTATGTAAATATTTAATTTGGTTATACATGGAAGAGTATCTTTGAGTCCTTTAATATAAATGAAATTTGCACTAAAGGTTAGAGTCAGTGTTTGGAGTTAGAGTTTAGTTGTTTCCATCAGAGTTAGTGATTGTAGAATTTGTGAAAAACTGAACTTCTTTCCATTGAATATTCACAACGTATAAATACAAGTGAGTTGGGCCTTGGGCGAGCCCGAATATACCAAGAATACATACATGGACATAGATATATACATGGAAATAATTACGTAGATGGAAATACAAATATATATATATATATATATATATATATATATATATATATATATATATATATATATATATATATATATGCTAACATTCCCCTCAAATTGGAGCATGGAGATCACAAATACCCAATTTGGACAGTAAGAAAGAGAAGAGAGGTCTGTTCAAAACTTTAGTAAATAAATCAGCAATCTACAATCGAGTAGGAACATATGATGTAGCGATCTCACTGCGCTGCACGCACTCACGAACAATATGGCAGTCAATATCAATATGTTTCATGCGCTCATGGAAGACAGGATTAGCAGCAATGAATAAGGCAGACTTATTATCACAGAACAAACGTGGCGTCGTAGGTGGAGTAATGCTGAGCGCCCCAAGAAGACCCTGAATCCATCTAACCTCTGCACACGCATTAGCCATTGAACGATATTCAGCTTCCGCTGAGGAATGTGACATCGTGGTTTGCTTCTTTGTTTTCTAGGAAACCGGGGAACCTCCTAGAAGAATGAAATAGCCACTAACGGACCGTCGGGTAATGGGACAAGATGCCTAGTCGGAATCACATTAAGCTGATAGCTGAAGAGAGCTATCGCTACGTAGGAGAATCCCCTGTTCAGGATGGCCCTTCAAATAACAAAGGAATCGTTTGGCAACCTCCATGTGATCGAATAAGAGAGATCTGGCCGAGTAATAGTGCGGTATATCAAGAGACCCATTGTAACGCCACAAAATATGGCCTAAAATTTATTATAAAACAAAAGTAAATTTTATCCAATAAGGAATATTTATACGTTTGACCAAAAATAAATAGAATTCCAAAATAATGACTTTTTGTTAAAAACTTATTTTTATGGATATGTCTCGAAGAGACGAATCAAACGGTACATTTTATGAACCAATCTGATTTATAGATTTCAAGCTATGGTGATTTTAAATATTAAAATTTGTAACTTTGACCCATAAAAATAAACTCAATTCAAAAGTGATTTCATAAAATTAGAAATCTAAATCCTTGACACTTGACAACACCATATTTATCATTTGGATTTAATTCATATAATTATATCTCATTCATATTATAAAATTAATTTATGACTGAGACAGATCCGAACACTGATAAAAATAAAAGTTCTCAGAAAAATATTTTGATTATGTCAAAATTCTAGTTTTGACTGTCTCATTCCAAAAACGCAATCCGTTTTCAATTCGGAGCAGTTTGGGCGAAAAAGCGCGTACCGTTTGAGGTAAATTACTCAGTTTGGACTAAGAGCCAAACTTCATTTTCTAAGATTCCATGCCAATCACGGATGAGCCTCCTAGCTGCATTTTCTCCACTAGCCTCCACCAACCGACCCCACTTCTCTCTTTATATCACCATCCTCATCATCCACCACCACCATATTCATCATCAAACATTATCACCATCATCCATCCATCATTCATCTCCTCTCCATTTTCTCTCTGTGTCGGCCAAACAAAAGGAAAAGAAAAGAAAGCTTAAACTCCATAGTTGGTTCAAGGAAGAAGAAGAAGAAGCAAGAAACCATCCAAAGTTCTAAAATCCTGAGTTCAAACACAGCAGCCAACTTCTAGGTAAAAACTGAAATTTTCTATCCATTATTTCGAAATATTTTCTGAACCAAAGTTGTAGCCCCGGACGATACGAATCCAGCCCAACAAACGGCTCGCGATTTCGTTAAGTAACGAAGAAGATATGGCCAAAATACCGGGACTGCGCCAGTGGTGGCGAGCTCCTCGGGTTGGACCATTTTCTTCACCAAATTCATATTGTTTCATTCCAAGAACTTACCATAAACTCTCTAACACTTATTAGGAACATCCGGAAGGTATCGTAGAGAAGGTTCGGCGTTAGAATATTGAAGTTAATGAGATAATCGTCGGGATCGTTGTTCGTTGGAACATCCAAAATCCTGGCAGCAACAATGAGTCCACTTGTGACCTATATTTGACCACTTTAAACTCATTATTTTAACATGGTTTCTTCACGAAAGTTGTAGCCTTACATCTTAGGAATCCACAGAATCAAATGGTCTGCATTTCCGTGAAGAAACGATGGAGATATGCCCAAATTACCGCAGGCTGTCCAGTTGTGACGGAAATGACAAAGTTGGTGAATTACGATGTTGTTTCCACTCCCGCTCATCCGTAAGGTTTCGGCCAATGATTTCCAGGTCTGTACCTTTGCGTTAGACTTGTCGAATCATTCAACACATGCGTACATGAACATATATGTTAATCCATTTGTTGAAATCATTCCAAAATATATGTGTGGTGCATATATAAGTCATCTTTGTGTTAAAACCATAATACACCAAATCCATAAAGTTATTATATAAATACATGAGTATATATATAAGCATTTGAAATCAACCCAAAAATATGTATATATTAATCAAAGGTGTTTAAAAGACTTAAAGAAGTATTTTTGGATACTCAAAAATATCAAGAGATAGATTCGCAGACCCAAACGGTCGATGCAAACGGTCGACCGTCGTATTAAACTTTGAAACAGACCATGACTGTCAGCCAAACGGTCGACCGCTGGTGGCTGACGGTCGACTACCGCCCGTCCAGCTGAAGTCCGCCATCCGCAGCCAGTCAACAACGGTCGACTGCCAGTCAACCACGGTTGACCATCACGGTGATTCTCCAACCCGACGCGATGAAGTTCAAGGTCGACCGTCCCGCCAAACGATCGACCGTTCCGAGCCCCGTAGTTTAATTAAATGATATTTTTATCGGATTTCATCCAAATAAAATAAAGTATATTTATCCAATCATGTTGTTTACAAATTGTTCATATCATGTGATTCATTTCATCATCCATATTGAAACATATCACATCATGTGCATGCGCAAGAGATCAGGCGGAAGTGCGTCTCTTGTAGTTGTGATTGTGCGGGACTTAGCAGTCTGACATCACGGACCGGGCTTAGTGTACGTACATGGTACTTAGGTTTTCGAGTACCACCCATATTTCTGCGTGAGTTCGTCGTACCAAATGGGCGAATCTCATAGCTCAAGGCTCGTCCTTGCGACTTAGAATCATACAGCATGAAGTCATCATCAAGTAAAATCATCATGACTATGTGTGACATCAATTACGCAACATGTTATCATCATCAAGTACATCGATTACATAGATGTCATGTAATCATCATCAAGAACAAGTATATTGATTATATGAGTATCATGTAATCATCCTCACAAGCAAATTGATTAATTGTGCCATCATGTAATTATCATCAAAAATTTACCATCATGAATCATCAAATTGACCATATGATATAATGTGCCATATCATGAATATTATTATACATTTGTGGACGTATATATATGTATATGTATACGTCTGTGAATCATTCTACAATTCAAGCGTGGTACCACTCAGCGGTTTCGCTGAGCGTGTAGTTTGTATTTTTCGTTGACTACACGTAGGTAACAAGAAGACAATGATGGAACCATTCCCGGAGGGCATTGAGTCAGAGGAGATGCACGGATGGCAGGCAAATGTTTGATCAACATATTTTAAAAAAAGTCATGATTTGATTATTATTGTACTTCCGCATTACTCTGAAAATATTTTTAAATGGGTCGCGATCCAGAGTCTGTAAATTTAATATTTATAATAAATTGTCATTTTCAAATGTCAAGCGAAATTTTTATTTAACTCTCGTTTCACCTTAATTCGTATAATTCCGGGTTATACGGATTGGGGTGTTACATTT